GTGACACTTTCCTGAGATACCAACAAGGTAGGAGATTTATGCTGGGACAAACGAGACAAACAACTGGGTAGAATGTGTCAAAGGTCGTAAAAACCCCGAGGACACACTTAGAACACAGGATACAAGATGCTACAGTTCTTCTGCACGGATCGAATCAGAAAGTCAGATTTTTCCATCTCTCAATGAGTCTGGCGCTGTTTGCAGGACAAATTAGAAAAGTGCTATTTTCAATCCCTCATTTACATCTGGTGGGAAGCCAAGCAAGTCTTTCCATAGGACAGTTTAAACGTGGCGCAGCACCCAAGTGAGTTTTTGATAAGACAAATGTCCCAATGCCTTACTTGCCTGTGGAAAAGCCAACCCAGGAATTTTGGATTAGAAGAAAAAACCCTTTCTTCTCATCCTTGAGGATATTATGAGCCTTTTCACCAGGCCACTCTTGCCCCAAGAACATAATTCTTTTCCACCTTCAGTAAATGTATATCTTTGCTACCTTTTCTGTGTGTCTTGTCTAATTCTTTGTTCAAGACTCCAAGAACCTAGAATGAATCCCCACAGGACCTTCCATCTGGTAACACCAGTGCAATGACTGTGCGTGCCTTTTCTCCTGTTAATGTGCCTATTGTCAGTGCCCTTTGGGGGATTTACCAAGGGAGACCCAAGTGATACAAGGGAGAAAACTCCCAACCTGAACAGTATCTGGGACAAGTTTGAGTTCTCTAAAATCAAAGAATGAATTTTAGGAACAACAGAGATTAAAAGCAGAACATATTCATTGAAGGAAAGAAAGATTCTGTCCAAGAGAGGGACAGAAAGGGGCCCCAGTAGGTTACCCAAGACTCTGTCTTTCCTAGGGATTTTATAGAGCAAAACCACGAGGTGAGGCGGGTCCAAGGTAGGGGGAAAAATGGGAAATCACAAGGTGGTCAAGAGGTGGGACAAAACTATGGTCAGCCAATAAGAATTGTTCAGGTAAAATTGTTTAAGTCAGGTCAAATGGGGAAGCAAGTCCTGTAGTGAGCGGGCATGAATATAGAACAGGGACTTTTCCTGTAAGTGGTTGGGTCAGCGACTCTTCAAGGTGATTGCTACCTATTTAGAATATCAGTCCCTGATGTCCATCCCTAGGGAGGTATGTGGGTGCATTTGTTTAGTCTTTTGTCCTGAGGTCTGGCCTATAGCAAATATGTCTCCATTTGCAAGGTATCTTATCTTCCATACTGGCTCCTTCGAGGGCCTGGCCCTGTCTGACTGCCTATAGTGTTTCTACCTAACTGAGCTGCCTATAACACAAGGAGTAGCTTTCCCCTGGCTCCTGCAATGCCTCCCCTCCACTCTTCTCATGGAGAATCTTCTCATGGAGACATCCTGCTCCCAACACCACAGCGTCAGCCCAGTCATCAACTTTTAAGGATCAAACCATTGATAAATATAATCACATACTTAAGAGTGTGAGTTCAGGTCTGAGAGTGTGGCTTATTGCTAGAACACTTGCCTGGGATGTTACTTGCTGTCATTATTATTTTCAAAGCTCTTACTTCCTCCCGATAACTACTGTCAATCCTAGTGCTGGTCATCCACAGTCATACTGAGAGACAGACATAAGAGAAAGAAGTATATTCTGAGTGCCTGAATGGAGGTGAAGCTGTGTCAGGGAAGTAGGAGGTGAGGGAATAGGGGTGAGGTGCTCAGGCTCGACAGTGCCTTGCATGGGCCATGCTTTCTGTGAAGCTGGTGGGGTGGACATCAGATCCCCAAATTTGGGAGGAAGGGAGCTACTCTCCTTTGGCTCTGGAGAGGCAAAGGTGGCTGGGAATGGGGATGAGCCTGGGTGTTCGTAAATGGGGCTGAAGTGGCAAAAAAGAGCTGAAACTGGATTGACACTCAAAGAGGACCACAGAGAACCAGAGACTTTTCCACAGGATGGGTACGCGGGAGCCAGAGTTAGTGCATATTTGGGGACATCAGGGAAAGATTTGGAGCCAGTTGGGAACCAAAGCGTGATGGAGTGGGCTAAGGCACTGATCTGGGAGTGAAGGCATGGAGAGGGCCTTCTCCAGCAGCACGCTTTCAGGACCAGTTTCAGGACCAGTTCAATAATGTAGACTCAGCTTGTCCTTGCTTCAGAGAAATGGCGTTTGCTCCCCAGCATCGGCAATGTTGGTGTCACTGAATTTGGTCTAGACCTGCGGGTGTGGGGAGTGAGGACGGGTCAGGTCAAGGATGGGTGTAAAGAGGACTATTCCCAAATGAAAGGGTTAGTGTAGCCAGGGTTGTCATTTGAGCTCCTATTCAAAGAACTAAAATCTATTTTAGCCACTTCTAAAGAAGGAGGATATGAAACAGCTAATGTTGGACTCAATGAAAATCACTTAGGAAAAGAAATGACTGGAGTTTGGAGCTATTTTTATAATATGTATTTTTTAAAAAACAATCCCTGGGGGCTGGGGATTTAGCTCAGCGGCAAAGCGCCTGCCTGGCAAGCGCAAGGTCGTGAGTTCGGTTCCCGGTACCGGAGAAAAACCAAAACCAAAAAACCAAAAAAAAAAACAAACAAAAAACAATCCCTGCTTTTTATTCACTATGTGCATCTTTTCACAAATATACTCATTTAGGAGGGGAGAGCTGTTCTGGGAGCAGTTCTGAGAGTGAGTTTGTCAAGGTATACATCAATTTTCTTAATTACAGAAATCTAATTAGGCTGCCAGGCTTGGTGGCACATGCCTATAATCCCAGCACTTGGGAGGCTGAGGCAGGAGGATGCTTGTGAGTTCGAGACCAGCCTGGGCTACCAAGTGAGCTCAAGGTCAGCCTGAACTGCATAGCGAGACCCTGTCTCAAAAAGGCAAAAATAAAACAAAACAGAAATATAATTAGGCATAGGAACCTGACTTTTTATTTTGAAGTACTGTACACATCATTCCAGGACATATTGGTTATGCCAGTATTGCTGAGGGTCATGTATGTTTTGAATTTTATAATCTGGCTATATCATGTGTATTTAGCAAGAAAACTATATTCAATCACATTCATATAAGTAAAACTTCTTATCTTTCATTTAGGATTTGATAGAATCCAATCCCACCATGATTGTCTAGTACTTTTGCACATGTATCATTTGATGATAAAATATGATCCTCTAATTTACTTTGAGAAAATATCATTATTTACAGCACTTATACATCACTTATGTACTTTTTCCCTAGAAACAAATTGAACAAGTGACCCACAGACTTCTTTCCAGGAGACAGTTTAGTAAGTAATGGGAAGATAGAAAACATAATGTCATCAATAATTTAATTTTTTACAAAACTGTTAAGTTCAAGTAGGAGAAATACAGAACAGTATGACTATTTTTCATGCAACTATGGAACCCCTTGGACTGTTTTCTTTGATAATGATGCTCCTTAAACTTACGGAGTTCCTTTTGGGCTTTTGAAAGAAAGGGCAACCATAATTCCTTTTAAGAGATGTTCTCCTGTGTAAACATTAGGACCACACAGGAGTTCTCACCTGTCCAATACAGACTGACGGTGGACCCGGAAGCAGTTCAGCAATGTGGATGGGACCTGCTGTCATATTTGCGATAAACAGAAAAACAGACATCAAGTATTGCAGGAGCGTGGAGTGTGTAAGGCAAGATGTTTTTCCTGGCTGGTATTTGATTTTTGCACCTTTCTTCTTGGTTTGATTTTTTTCCCAGATAACTTGTTTATTTTCTATGTTGCAAAGGACTTCCTTGAACTTTGCCTTCAGAAGCCTAAATTTCAAGTGCAGCTAGACAGCTGTTTTACCAAGGGAACCTGAACCAATGGTTCCATTAAGCCTGTTATGGCATTCAAATAATACTGTGGTGGATTAATTAATAGTCAACTTGTAACACCCAGCTGAACTGAATCAGCGTGGTGCTGAGCATGGAAGGCCCACCTGAGGATTGTTGCCAACAGCATAAAAGGAGAACTGGAGGGGAAGATGGTGAGCTGTTGATTCTCCTGGAGAAGCTTGTCACGCTGGCTTTCCTGACTCGGCCATTCTCACTGTTGGAGGAGCTCTGTCCTCACTGTTGCTGAGGGTGGCTGTGGTTCTCTTTTGGGGAGCTCTGGTTCTTACTTTGAGCGTCACTTCCTGGCTCCAGTGCAGATCCCTCAGCCTGCTGGCACAGATCCTTCATCCCGCTAGTGTAAACTTTCTAGCTTCCATTGCTGACCTTTCGGCCTTCCCAGTGCAGATCCTTGATACAGACTTCCATGAGACATTTTCGTGGGTTCTAACTGGACTCATGGAGAACATTGTCATGGGCTCCAGGTCTTCAGCTTGATTCATGCAGGACATTGTGGTGGGATCCAGGGTCTCAGCTGGATTCTTTGGGTCTCTAGTTTGTGGACAGATTTCCCACACTCTTTTGAATTTGACTCTTTGGTGTGAATATTATAAAATAATCCTATAAATTACATGTCCTCTTTTAAATCTTTTCCCTTGTAAACCCTGCCTACAACAAACACACACAAAACATCAAAGGGATAGTTTTGAAAATGAGGTGTTGAAAGATGTTTTGAAAACGTCTAACGTGCTAGGTGGCTGGGTGTGTAGCTCAGCGGTACAGCACCTGCCTATCACGGGCAAGGCCATGGGTTCCATCCTCAGCAGCACAAAAATATAAAATAAAATAAAATAAAATGCTGGATGTAGATATAATCTCTGAGACAATTGAAATAGCATACAGTCAAATATTTACCTTCCTCTCATATGGAAGTTATGTCAGTAGTCCAAATCGGTGGTGCTATTGCTCATTTAATTTTCTCAAGTCCTTTAGAAGAAAGTTATCGGTGCCATACAGGGTACCAGGTTTGCATTTGGCTTTAGTGTCTTTGCAGAAAGATATGCAGAAATCCAAGATCTGCAAATGCATATGAAAGGTTACTGAAGCTCTGTGGCTGGTCTCTCTAGAGCTCTGTGAATGTTTCTCCATTGTTGTCACTTAGGAGGAAGAATCCAAGACAGAGTGCAGGCTGGCACATGAACTGCGTGCATTCTTACAGTTGTGATATTTGTTGCTGATGAATTTCAAAAGCAAGCCCTGTTTCCAACTTTTTGCCTGTCAAGCTCTCCTCTGCGAAATTTATGACAAGTGGGAAGCCTCCTATGTGCCAGAAGTTATTGCAGAGTGAGAAGAAATACAGATTGATGAGGGGAACAGAAGCTGAAGTTACCCTGAAAGTATGTATTTGAACAACGAACTTAGATTAGCAGCAGGAATGTGTATCTCTTAGATACGATAGTTTGAATGTTTCAAAAAGAATGCATTGTATTCTCACATTTTATTTCCTTGTTTCTAAGGCAGTTATTTTGCTGAACTTGTAGTTTATTCAAAGATGGTGCTGAATTTCAGAATTAATCTGCCACCATTGCAAATGTGGACTATCTTTTCCCTTTAAAAAAGCTTTTAATTTTTTTTGAATTTTTATTAAAATGTACAAATAATGATAGTGTCAAAGGAATAAAAACATTTAAGTCACGTGGAGCATTAAAAGTTAATGGAAGGAGTTGGTAACAAGGGTGTCTTAGTTATTTTTCTCTTGTTGCTGAGACAAAGTACCCAACACCCAAGATCAAAGGGGAAAGGTTTATTTAGTTCAGTTTGTGGAGGTTTCAGTCCATACTCAGCTGGCTCCAAGGCAGGGTGGCACATGGCTGGTGGCACATGGCAGAGGGCAACAGTTCTTGGTGGCAGAAAAGCAACAAGAGCAAAAAGGGAGGAGTGACAGAGAAGACTATTTCTGTCCCTTATATTGTATGATGGCTACCCACCTTAGGGCAGATGTAGCTCCCACACCCATAATCTTAGCATTGGACCATGAATCAATCATGGACTCTAGAAGCCTGCACTGTCCATGACTGCATGAGGCTTTGGGGGGATATCTCGATACAAACCACAACAAAGACATATTGGGCTTTTCTTACTGGAAACATTTCAAAATAGTTTATGGGGGAAAAATTGTCATTCCATTTATTCTTATTCACTGTGCACATTGTAGTTTTAGTTTCTATCAAATGACTGAGTTAATTTTAAAAATTGCTTATATTGTGTGGCCTGAGGATGTGCCACACCTTACCTAGTATAGAAGCTCATGTGGAAGGTCATTTTGTCTACCTCTCTTTAGTTTGTTTTTTAGTTTATGAAAAGTTGAAAACACATTTTGATTCCACTAAACTAAAATGTAAGGCATGAGAGAGCCAAATCCAATCATCTGAGCTGCTTATTACAGAGACCTAGTTCCACGTGAAAGCCCTCAGAATGGTCAGAGTCTTCTTTCACAGAAATGCAGACAGTCCTTTATAGTTTCCAAGGGCTTTGCACCTGGTATCATGCGAGACTTGTAAAAACTCAGCTGAAGGAAAAAAATGTGTAAAATTAGGTAGGTGATCAGCCAAAGTCCCACACCAGGTCAGAGGCAGAAGGTGGCCCAGGGCTCAGTCTGCTGCTAGCTCCTGGTATGTTCTTTCCATGTCAGGGAGAGCCAGTGGTTGGGATCTGAGAGTCTGGTTCTCAGTCCTTCCACCCTGATAAAGCCCTGACTGGCAGACACATGCAGATAATTAATCATAAGAAGCAAATGACAGCCTTGCCCCAAATGGGATTAACTTGCTAACACAGCTTACAGAACTCAGGAAAATGCTTTATGTGCATTTACTCATCGATTTATTAAAGGATAGAGATGAACAGGCAAATGAGGAGATGCAGAGGGCAATGTCTGGAATGGTCCTGAGAGAGGAGCTCCTGCCCCTGTGGAGGTGAAGCCACACCATCCTCATGGCACATGATGGTGTTTTGTGTTTGCTCCTGGGGAAGCCCTCGGAACCCAGTCCTTTGGGTATTTATGGAAGCTTCATCTTGTACACGTGATTGATTACACCATTGGCCACTAGTGATCAGCTCAACTTTCAGTCTTTCTCCTCTTCCCAGAGGTTCGGGGATGAGAAAATCCCAACCCTTTAATCCTACCTTGGTCTTTCTGTGACCTTCAGTGGGCCACCAGTCAGCTCATTTCCTTACAGAATACTCTTCTGTATCTCTCCTGAGATTCCAAAGATTTTAGAAGCTGTTGCACAAAATGAGGATGAGCAAATATATCAGACTGTCCAAAGCGTATGATACTTTTTAAGACATGAAGGAATATTGCAATAGAATGCAAAATGAATATTACCATCCATGACTTTCCTATGGGATGTACTTTTCCCCCTAAAAGGCAGAAAGTGGCAAAATGGAGACAGGAATTCATATTTCTGATACCTCCTTAGGTGGCCATTAAGGTAATATCTGTGTGTGGCACTGTTATGGCTTGTGTCTAGATAACCCCCTAAAGCTTAAGGCATAAGTGGGGCTTTTTCAGAGGTGGCTGGATCTAAAGTATGTGATATGAGAATTGATTCATGGTGCAATGCTAGGATCAAGGGCACTGGGATTATGGGTGTGAGTGCTACTTGCACTAAGTAGCCTGGATAAAATAAAAGGGGCAGACAGACACTGTTAAGATCCCTCCCTTGCTTGCTATTGCTGTCTTCTGCCTGCAGTGAACTGTTTCTCCTCTGTGATGCTGTTCTGCCATGTGCCACCATGCCTTGGAGCCAGCCAACTCTGGACTAAAACCTTTACCAACTGTAAGCTAAGTAAACCTTTCTCCCCTTTACCTTTGGGTGTCACATATTTTGTCTCAGTACCAAGAAAAGTAATTAAGACAGGCACTAACATTTAGATAAAGACACAGCTGGGCAAAGGAAAAGCTGTCTATATTTTTGAGTCATATGAATTACTTCCGATGTCTGAATTTTCTTTGTTCTAACCTGATTTACCTTGTAAAATTGTAAAATAGTTGTAAAATTGTAAAATTGTTGCCTTGTAAAAATAGTTCCATTGCCTGAATTCTCACTGTGAGCATTATACTGCAACAGGTTGATGCTATTATATGCAATAGTACTCTTCAGTCCTCAAATAATTCAGAAAGCAGTGCTAGTTTAGGTATTTAAATATAGTTCTAAAGTGGTTAAAGTAACAAGTCACAGTGCACTGTTTCTTAAAATTGAGAGAATATGGTATATGTTCACTATAACAGGCTATAAATGATATGTTCAGAGGAACTACTGAATTCTTCATCTACTTTCAGATGGAGCGGAGGGTAAAACTGGTCTAACAAATATTCTAGGAAGCTGAATAAATGGCAAGAAGAGGAGAGAGTAATGTCACCAACCTAGAATGTGTAAAAGCGCTTGGCAAGTTCCATCTCTGCTTAAGTCCAAGATGTGCTGGCAGGTGAGCAGGATATTGTCTTAATCGCTCATTTATGTTGAATCAGGCTGTCTTTGGGAAGGGCAAATATCCTCCCTGCTCAATGATTTGGAAGCCTATGTTCAGAGAATTTTGCAAATGAGCACATGGCCTGCCAGCAATCTAGTCAAGATGATTTGTGCTAAGTAATGGAACACTTATCCCAGATAAAGTGCTAGCTAGCTTTGTACTGTAAGCAAAGTCCTAACCTCATTTTTACCTTCTCTGTTCCCATCTGCTTTATGGATGCACAAAACCCCATATCCTGGGCTTTTGGTAACAATGAAAGGAGGCTGCAACAATAAATGGAGATAATGCAGGTAAAGCACATGGCAGATGATAAGGTTCAGTAAGGGATAGGTAATGGTATAGTATGGTTGTGAAGTAGCCTCTAAAGGCCCATATGTCAAAGGTTTGTTCCCCAGCCCACGGAAGTAGTATGAGGTGGGACCCACGGAGAAGTTCAAGATCTTTTGGGCACATGCCCTTGAAGGGAGTGTAGGACCTTGCCCTCTCTCTCTTCCCCTGTAGTTCCTGGGTGTGAGGTGAATAGGAATCGTTCATTATAGGTTCCCACCATGACAGGCTACCTCTCCACAGGCCAAAAAGCAACCAGGCCAACTAACCATCAATGGAAACTTCTAAAATTATGAGCCAAAAACCCCTTTCCTCTTTTAAAGTTGATTAGCTTAGGCATTTTCTTACAGTGACAGAAAGTTAAATGACGTAGACAATATCATCCTGGCACTTGAGACCTAACTGATAGCACTGTGCCTTTTTGGCTTTTCTGTGGACTTGAAGTGATATTCAAGAAGGCCATTGGGTAGCACCCACAAAATTCAAGCAGCAAAATGGGAAGAAAAAAAAAGAGTTCTTTGTTTTTAAGTAGTTTTTTTTTTTTTAGCTAAATTTAATACAAGCTCAAATCAGTTTAAGACTTCATTGTATATTGTTAGCACTGTTAACAATGTAGTGTTCCTTCTCAGAATCCTTGACAAATCAGAAAGAGGTATTCATTTGGAATTCTATTTGGTCTTTTTATTCCATAAAGAATGTAATAGTGTGTGAATGTCCCAATTGAAAGTCTGACTACATCAGAAGACAGCATTATGCTCCCTTTGGATGCTTTGCAGATGTGATGAGCAACTTTCTGAGCTCCATGGCTGCTTTCCCAGGAAGAAGACATTAAGATTCATCTATCCTCTGCTCTTTGGCTATAGAAGGTTCGGACAATTAGAGAAGAATGTCATTCTCTCCCACCATGCAGTGCTGTGCAGTCAACCAAAGGTAGTCACTTCCTCTCACCGGAGAAACTGAACCAGCACTTCATAGAGCCCCTTTGAAGTTCATCCACCTGCCTAAGTCAACAGGCCGACCATTTCACTGACTTTCATCTCAGATCATTTACTTTGGTTAGGAAGGATACTATTAAGAAATAGTTTCATTTTTCTGCTAAAGCTGTCTTCTCTTCTTGAAGAAGACATATTGCCTTGATTCTTGGGTTTTTTTTTTGTTTGTTTGTTTGGTTGGTTTTTTTCTAGTACCGGGAATCAAACTCACGACCTCGCGCTTGCCAGGCAGGCACTGTGCCGCTGAGCTAAATCCACAGCCCCCAATTCTTGTTAATTAAGAGAATTTTTTTGGTAATATAGGTAAGGGGTCCCCAACCTCTTCCCCCAACCCTGCCCCCCAGGAGGTGAGTGGTAAGCAAGTAAGCAAAGCTTCATCTGTATTTAAAGCCACTCTCTGTCACTCACATTACCATCAGAGCTCTGCCTCCTGTCAATCAGTGCAAATATTGTCTTCCACAAAACCAGTCCCTTGTGCTAAAAAGGTTGATATAGGTATTGTCACTATCGTAATGTTATGCATGTGATGATCAACATTTTGAAAGTGTTTACACTGTTTAAAAAAATCACCATGAGAATGCAGACTAAGCCCACAGTCAGAGGTCCAGTGGACTGGGGTCACGAGAGCCGCTCGGAAGCTGTAAACCAGGAGGACCTTGCACAATACCTGCAGAGACTCCCTGGAAGCCATTCTTCCCCTGACAGTACAGGCTGTGGTGGAGCTCCAGAGAAGTCTGCAGCAGGATTCCTGTGCTGACAGTTGGAGAGAGGACACTAACTGGTTGTGGGGTCCCAATGCGATGGGAGGCTGGAGAGAAAACGCTACAAAAAATGGCTTTCGCCCCAGATGGCTCACTTGATTTTTGACAACCCTTAGGCTGTAACTACTTGTTAGATCCTTCTTGTGTATCTCTGTCTTCCTTAGAAACCACTTCTAAGATACCACCATGTATTACAGCAGGCATTGATATTTTCCTACTAATCTATCCATAACTCTGCAATGTTTGTATTGTTCCTATCCTATTTCATAAATGGATCCATGTTTATTATTATGTGTTTCCTACAACAACCATTGAGAATTATTGAGTGATTATTCAGTAGGTCACTCATGTATAGTTCTATTTATAATCTTTAGAAGCCACTTTGAAGATACCTAAGTATGGTACAACAACTATTGATAATCTCCTCCCTCTTTTGTCTGTAACTCACTAGCATTTGTCTATTTGTTTTCCTGAGAAACTATCTTATAGATAACAATATGTAAAACAATAACCATTGATAATTTCCTACCACTTTGTCTGTAATTTGGTAAGCCCCTCCTATTATTATGTTATCCTTCTTTTACTCTTTTTTTTTTTTGTGTGTGTGTGTGTGTGTGTCTTTTTTTCCGGTACCAGGAATCGAACTCACGACCTTGCGCTTGCCAGGCAAGCACTTTGCCGCTGAGCTAAATCCCCAGCCCCCTTCTTTTACTCTTTAAAATTTAAAAAAAAAAAAAAAAGAAGCTGTGGCAGGAGGATCACCATGAGTTTGAGGCCAGCCTGGGCCGTATAGTGAGTTCAAGGCCAGCCTGAACTACACAGCAAGATCCTGTCTCAAAAAACAAAAAAACAACAACAGAAGACCTTCTTTAAGGTTTTTATCGTTAGTGAATATTGGATTTTGTCAAGTGCGTTGTCTGCATCTGTTGAGATGATTGTGTGGTTTTTGTCTTTGCTTCAGTTTAGGTAGTAGTGTATTACATTTACTGATTTGTGTTTGTTGAACTAGCCCTGAATTCCTGGAATGAATCCTACTTGGTTGTGATGTATGATCTTTTTGACCATTTGCTGCATTCCCTTTGCCAGTGTCATGTTGAGTTTTGCATTTATGTTCATTAAAGAGATTGGCCTGTAAAAAAAAAAAAAAGAAAGAAATCACAGACAAAGAGAAGAAAAATAAATCTCCCCTTTGATAATGCTCATGTGTCATCTTAGAATTATTAGTTACCAATAAGTCACTTTCTAAAGAATCCTATTTTTTTAAAATTGTTATCATCTTGGCTCTTTGGGCACCAGCTGGCTTTGATACCAGCTGTCTGATGCTTGCACTGAGGTAAGCAAGTGTAACCAGGACAGCCTCATTCAGCACAGGTCTGAGACCCCTGCAGGACCCCTCATCCTTTCACTACAGAAATGATGAGACTTGCCTGCCCTCCAGAGCTGGAAAGGTTTTATTTCAAACTAGCCAGATTCACATCAGTTTCTCACCTGTGCATCCCTCTTGACAGGAGGTATTTCTGCACATCCTGGGACTCATTTAGTTCCTTTGTTATGTTGCTTTAGGGGGGAGCTCCCTGGCCTGCTTTTTCATGTGGAAATACACTTCTCACTCCATTCTCTAAAGAGACTACCGTGTCTGTGGATTGTTAAACATATTCTCCTGCTGGTGGAGGTTTACAACAGTTAGCCTCCTTTGTTGTCCATTTTCTGGGAGTCTGCTAAAGGGCTTGATCCCAGATGGGTAACTAGGGATTCACAGCTCATGGTTTGCACTGTCAGCTGAGAAGAGCTTCTTGGCCTCCCCAACCCAGGGTACAATTTGGAAAGTTCTGATAATTGCTCTGCAGCTGCTGATGATAAAATAGAGACCATTGTGCTGAGTGCTCTGTACTGAGTTATGAGATTCTTCTCACTTCTAGCTGGCACCTCCAGCTCCACCCAGGAGCCCTCCGGTGGATTTAGATTTTTTTAAAAAAATTTTTTTGAGACAGAGTTTCACCATGTAGTTTAGGCTGGCCCTGAACTTGCTATGTAGCCCGGATGGCCTTGAACTTGTGGTGATCCTCCTGCCTCAGCCTCTCAGTGTTGGGATTACAGGTGTGCACCACCACACCTGGCATCCTCTCTTCCATATGTCCCATGATGCTATAACCCCCTGGTCAGTCAGACATCCACTCTGCCATATAACACAATGGGTGTATATGCCCAGTGCCCTTCTGAGCGCTATTCTATTCCATTAGTTTGGGTTATTTTCTCTTCCTGTGTCGATACAATCTATGCCTATGATAATAGAATGTTGAATTAATTGCTATAAACTTTGACCCAGTAGCGCAATCCCCCACACCTTATTCTTTTTTCATCAAGAGTGTGTTGAGGGGCTGGGGATTTAGCTCAGCGGCAAAATCGCCTGCCTGGCAAGCGCAAGGTCGTGAGTTCGGTTCCCGGTACCGGAGAAAAACCAAAAAAAAAAAAAAAAAAAAAAAAAAAAAAAAGAGTGTGTTGACTATTTTTGACCTTTGTGCTTCAAAATTAGTATTCAATTAAGCTTGCCAAGTTTAACTGAAATATCTGTTGGGATTTGTGTTTTTAATTGCTGAATATTCAGATGCTTTGTGATCATTTATATCTCTATGGCACCAATTCTTCAAATCCATTTATTTGTAATAATAAAAAAAGTATTAGATCTACATTTGTTTTCATTAATGCCTTTCATGAAAGTTAGATATCTTCTGAAATAATTCTCACATGTATTTGTTAAATTTATTTTCAGGTGCTTTCTATTTTTATTGCTATAGTAAATGTTATCTTTTTACAGTTTCATTTTCTACTCATTTTTCCAGGGCTAGCTAGAGCCGGGGAGGTGTGGCTTGGTCAGCAATTGTTGCACCCCTTCCCCTCGTCTCCCTTTGCTTCCCCTGCCTGCCCCCCAAGGATTGGGACAGTTTGCTTCAATGTCCTCCCTGGCTACCAAGCTGCCACTCTTCACTCCAAGCTGAATGCAGCCAGACAGGCAGTGTGATGCCCCTCCCCCATGTCCCTACTTCAGCCACTAGTGTTGCCTTTTTAAAGAAGGGAGGGGCATCCTGGCCTGGCTAAGGTCAGAAAGGGAGAGATCTGGGTACCTTATTTACATACCCAACACTCATAGTAAGCCTTCTAGAAGATTCTCTGGTTTCAGCCCTGCCCTTCACTGACATAGGCTTGCAGATGCTGTATAAACAGCGTTCCCCCAGCCACCTCCACGGTGATTAGTCTAGAGGGCTCCCTCCTGTGTACTGACCCCCCTGACCTGCAACGCGGGCTCTGTTTATTATTTGGTAGTCCTGTAAATTTGTGTATGATTCATTTGTCAGGTATGTGAGCTCCAAAAGTCCTGTAAATTTACTTTGAATGTTTATCCTAAGTAGTGTGGACAGAGTGGTCTTTTCAAAAGAAAGTAGTAAACACTCGGAGCTGTTAGCACCAAAGAGCTCCGGAGACCAGCCGGTGAAGACCAGCCACAGATGCCAGCTCCTGGTAGAGTCCAGCTATGGTGTCCAACACAAACTGGTACCAAAAGGTGACAGCTGGCAGCAATAGTGACTTGCAGCTGGCTGTGTCAACCACTGGCATCCAGCATTATCTGGTGTCATCTGGTGACATCAAGGCTACCAACAGAACTGCATTTTACAGATTTATGATTTCCGTTTGAATCGAGCAAAAGAACTCTAGGCTGATTGGCAACACCAGCACTCTGGGAGGCTGGAGCAGGAGAATCACAAGTTCAAGTCAAACCTGGGCAACTTTGTGAGATCCTGTTTTAGTCAGGGTTTACAGGGGAATACATTTAATATAGGACAGAAAATTTATAGGATTCTTTTATAATATTCCCCCAAAGAGTCAAATGCAAAAGAGTGCGGGAGATCTGTCCATGTGCTAGAGACCCAAAGAATCCAGCTGAGGATTCTTGATCTCATGGGGCAATGTCCTGCAGAAGTCCAGCTGAAGACCTAGAGCCCGTGGCAATATCCTCTGTGAGTCCAGCTGGAGGCCTAGAGCCCATGACAATGTCTCATGCAAGTCTGTATCAAGGATCTGCATTGGGAAGGCCCAAAGGTAAGTGGTGGAAGTTCGAAAGTCTGCACCAGTGGGATGAAGGACCTGTGCCAGCAGGCTGAGGGATCTGCACTGGTGCCAGGAACTGATACTCAGGGTCAGAACCAGAGCTCCCCTGAAAAGAACCACAGCCATCCTCAGTGATAGCAAGGACCCAAGCTCCTCTGACAATGAGAACAGCTGAGCTCATATCAGAAAAATCAGTGTGACATGCTTCCCCAGGAGAATCAACAGCGCAGCATCTTTCCCTTCAGTTCACCTTTTGTACTGTTGGCCACAGTCCTCAGATAGGCCTTCCATACCAAGCACCACACTGATTCAGTTCAGCTGGGTGTTACAAGTTGACCAT